TGCTATTGCTGGGTCATAGGGTAGGTCTATTTTTAATTTTCTGAGGAACCTCCACACTGCTTTCCAGAGTGGCTGCACCAGTTTGCATTCCCACCAACAGTGCAAGAGGGTTCCCGTTTCTCCACATCCTCGCCAGCATCTATAGTCTCCTGATTTGTTCATTTTAGCCACTCTGACTGGCGTGAGGTGGTATCTCAGTGTGGTTTTGATTTGTATTTCCCTGATGAGGAATGACGTTGAGCATGTTTTCATGTGCCTGTTGGCCATCTGGATGTTTTCTTTAGAAAAGTATCTATTCATGTCTTCTGCCCATTTCTTCACTGGCTTATTTGCTTTTCAGGTGTGGAGTTTTGTGAGTTCTTCATAGGTTTTGGATACTAGCCCTTTATCCGATATGTCATTTGCAAGTATCCCATTCCATCAGTTGCCTTTTAGTTTTGTTGATTGATTCCTTTGTGGTTGCACCAGATTTTTAGAATTCATGTACCAGTCTGTGTACTCTGACTTCATCTTTTTTAGCTGTTTTCAAGACACAAGTAGTATTTTATGTTTCTGCTTAAAATCCTACTCCATCTCCCTATCTCCAAAATAAAATCCAAATTCCTTACTTATAGTATTTAACATCCTAATGATCTGGCTTATCTCTGTAGTGAGATCTTTCATTACTGCCCAGACAAACCCTGCACTCCAGCCCTGTTACATCCTTTCAGATGATACTTTCTCCTCTCTGCATTTGCACATGCTGTGTCTTGATGTTTTCCCTTTCTTTGTGCATCTCATATTTTCATATTCTCATATTCTTCCTCCAAGACTCGGATTAGGTATCCTCTCCTTCTTAAGCATTTGTTTTAAGAAGTATATACCCCTAACCTAATAAGTGGATGTTCTTTCTACTGTTTCTGTGATAACCTGCAGTACACTTGTGTGAAAGCAGCAACCACATGCTTGGCAGCTGTTTTCTTTCCCCCCAAAATTATGATCTTCAGGCAGGAGATTTTTGCGTGTGTGTGTGTGTAGATTTTTTTTTTTTTAAGAAAGTTTATTTGTGGGGCGCCTGGGTGGTTCAGTCAGTTAAGTGTCTGACTTTGGGTCAGGTCATGATTTCATGGTTTGTGGGCTTCGAGCCCCGTGTTGGGCTCTGTGCTCAGAGCCTGGAGCCTGCTTCAGATTCTGTGTCTCCCTCTCCGCCCCTCCCCCACTTGTGCTCTGTCTCTCAAAAATAAGTAAACGTTAAAAACAATTTTTTTGAGAAAGTTTATTTGTAATCTTGTATCATTTAACCAAATGATTCTCAGCTCTGGGTGTACAGTCATCTGAGGACCTTTTGCTTTTTTATATTTTTAAGGCCAGCATTTAACACAGTACCTGAGAAGCAGAAGCAGCAACTCAAAACATATTTGTTGAGGGAGACCTGACTGGCTTAGAGCATGCTGAGTTTATTGATCCTTGGGTCATGAGTTTAAGCCTCATGTTGGGCATAGAGCTTACTTTGAATGAATAAATGAGTGAATGAGTGGAAAAGAGAAAATGACAAATGACTCTTATTTTTTTATAAAAACATATTTGTTGAACCCATTTTTGACTGTCTCTTATCAGGGATTGACAAACCCTTTCTCTGAAAAACTGAATAGTAAATATTTCAGGCTTTGTAGGCCACCTGTGGTCTCTGTTGTATATTCCTCATTGTTTTTTGTTGTTGTTTTTTCTCCCAACCTTTAAAAATAAACCATTCTTAGCTCTAACGCCATTTAAAAAAAAAAAAAAACAGGCCTCCAGGTAGTTGTTGCCCACCGGCTATTGTTTGCTGACCCTGAAATATATCATTAATATTTTTTTCCCACTAAAAAATTTTTTTGCCCTTTAATTTCAGGGGTGGTGGTGAGTTAGGCCTCCAGTGGCACGCTGATGGCCGTCTAACTAAAAAACTCAATGGCCTTGCTGACTTAGAGGCTTGCATTAAGACGCTTCATGGCCAAGGCTTTTCTCAGCCAAGTCTAACAGCCTTGACTGCTTTCAGTGCTGGAGGGGTGCTTGTGGGAGCATTGTGTAATTCTAATCCAGAGCTCCTAAGAGCTGTGACTTTGGAGGTGAGTATACTTTGTCTCTTCTATTTACAAAGTGGGAAAGTGGGAAAGCCCTAGGATGCTCTATAAAAAATATTTGTTATATCTTTTCACATTTCTCTCTCTCTCTCCCAAATATTTTTAAAGAAGTTGCTAACATATTTACTAGCATAGGGAGTATAACAAAACCTTAAAATTTTAAACACAGAATTGTAGCTCTGGGAGAACTTCTAAACTTAATCTAACTGCTTATCCTTTATCCCTTCTTCCTGGACAGTGTTCTTTATTAATCATTGAGAATTTCCACTGAAGAATATTAATGGCTATCCTCATTGACCATTTCTTATTTTTAAGAACATGTAGAGTTGGTAGAAAAGAGGCAAAGGATATATGACTCACCAGTTCCAGGGACTCAGGCAGAGCACACTGTGACTCTGGAATTCATGAAATCCGTTGCCTGTGCTGCCCATCAACCTTTTAGTCCTGGATGTAGGGGCTCTCTGTTTTTTAGATACTCCATTCTTAAAGGTCTTTAAGGGGTAGTTTTTCTGTACTTTGATTGAAATATCTTGCTTTATTCTTAAAAGTCTCTACAGTTGACCTTTGAACAACATGGGGGCCAGGGGCACAGACCCATCCCCATCCCCGTGCAGTCAGAAACCCATGATAAACTTTGGACTCCCCAAAAACTTAACTGCAAATAGCCTCCTGTTGAGCAGAAACTTTACCAATAACGTAAGCAGTCGATTAACATGTTTTGTATATTCTATGTATCACATACTATGTTCTTACAATAAGTTAGAGATAAGAAAATGTTATTAAGATCATAAGGAAGAGAAAAAAATGTTTGTACAGTACTGTGTGTATATCTATTGAAAAAATCCAGATGTAAGTGGACTTGCATAGTTCGAACCTATGTCACTCAAGGGGCAACTGTATAGTCTTCCTGGTGTCCAAAATTATGACGTTCTGTTAAAGCAGCTCATTTCACCTTCATCACTGTGCTCCTGGTTAGGTACTCTAGAAAATAATGACCGGGATGGAGAGAGCATATTATTTTCAGGTTTCTTTTATTTTGAGGATGGGGGTATATACACTGTGGACTTGTAAATAAGTGTTAAATAATCCTCATCTGTAAATCTACTTTTTTAAGTAGAGATGCTAAATATAGAGGGGGGGAATCTATATACAAAGATAATAATAGCAAAGCTATTTACAATATAAAGAGAATACAACTGGTCTGTGACTTTTAGAAATTAGAAAGGAAATAATCAAAAAGTATATGAATATTCATCCCACGTTGCTTATTAGAGTCAACCTCTAAATATCCAACAATAGAGAATTCATAGTTTTAATTAGAAGTACCAAATACCAGCTCTACTTTAAGCAGAAAAGGGATTTTTTTAAAAGGTAGTGGGGAGGAGCAGGTATAGTACCAGGCTTAGAGGCTGCACAGCCAGAAACATGTCCAAAATACACCAATAAAACTGCCCCAGTGGAGCTATCGCTGCCACCACTGCTGCGTACAAGTCCCCTCATACTGCCAGTGCTGCTTCTAAAATCTCAATATAAATGTGGCACGTTTGCCAGAGGAAATTCTCTATGGTCCCTACTTCTTTGAGTCACTAACTTGCCATTCAAAGTTTAGAGCGCATTATGTCTGATTTGGTAGACCCAGGCCATGTAGTTATACTCCACAACTGCAGGGAAAACTAAGAAAGGAAATACGGGGCATTTAGTACCTCCGTAGTGAGAGGCAGGCTTTGCCTCATAAGGTTAGGGATAGTCTAAATGCAAAAAAGGAGTTCAGATTCTAGGCAGCTGGAAGGAACTGCATTTGCCTACTAGGTTAATGCCAATACAAGAGAAAGCTGAAAAGCATGTTAACAGAATACTATAAGCTAAGTGAAAAAAAGCAGCTGCCGTTTTACTAAATGTTTTAATACTGGTTATAAGCCAGTGAGTGATTTTTTTCTTATTTCAATTTGGATACTATCTGGACTTTCTTCAATCAACATTTATTACCCATATTTTAAGGTAAAATGTCCAATTGATAAAGTAGGGCTTACTCATGTGTTGGGGTTTTTTTAATAATTTTTAATGGTGATAAAATAACAAAATTTACCATCTTAACTATTTTTACATGTATAGTTCAGTAGTGTCCAGTATGTTCACATTGTTGTGGAACCAGTCTCCAGAACTCTTTCCACTTGCAAAGCCAAAACTACGCTCATTGAATAGCAACTCCCCAGTTCCCCCTTTCCCTCAGAACCACCACTCTCCTTTATGTCTCTGAATTAGAATACCTGTACCTCCTGTAAATGGAATCATACATATTTGTCTTTTTGTAACTGACTTATTTCACTTAGAGATATCCTCAAGTCCTCGAGGTCCATCCATTATTGTAGCATATGTCAGAATTTCCTTACTTTATAAGGCCGAATAATAATCTGTTGTGTCATTGGGTATATTTTGCTTACCCGTTTATCCACCATTGGACACTGGGTTGCTTCCGCCTTTTGGCTGTTGTGCATAATGCTGCTGTGACTATGGGTGTACTCCTCAAGACTCTGATTTACCTAGGGATATATTTGCTGGATCATATGGTAATTCTAAGTTTGATTTTTTGAGAAACTAGCATACCATCTGCACCATTTTACATTCCCACCAATAGTGCACAAGGGTTCCAATTTCTCCACATCCTTGCCAACACTTGTTATCACTTGTTATTTTTGTTTCTTTTTAATAGTACCCATCCTAATGGATGTAAGGGGTAGCATTTATTACTTTTATGTAAAATGTACACTAAGGCATCAAACTAAAAAATTGTGAAATTAGAAGATAAACCCATATATATATCTGAATACCTTAAAGGCCAGTTATAAATCACAGGCCCTAGTTAAGGACTGAGTAGGTCTGAGTAGTCTGCCTCCTGGGAATCAGCGTGGCTTCTTGACCTTTGTTCTCTCATGTCAGCATTTATATTCATAAAGTATATTTTTCTGAAATTCATTTTACCAATTTGTTAGTCAAAGTTTAAATTTCTTTGGCTTTGTGGGGTTTGTTTGTTTGTTTGTTTGTTTTTTTAGGCACCTTTCTTGGATGTTCTCAACACCATGATGGATACTACACTTCCTCTGACATTAGAAGAATTAGAAGAATGGGGGAATCCTTCATCTGATGAAAAACACAAGAACTACATAAAACGTTACTGTCCCTATCAAAATATTAAACCACAGGTAGTGAATAACAGTTCTGATAAACTATTCCTAAAATGATAGAAGAGATAATCAAAAGAATACTTACCCATGCTGACCCGGAATTTTGTAGGGCTTTAGATTGTTTCTGCTTATAATACCCAAACAACTTTCAGCGCCATCTCTGCTCATACTCCATGTTTGTTTCAATGTAATAGTTCAGAATAGGTTAGATGTGGTCATGGTCTCACTAGCCAAGAAAAGGGTATTCCAGGTAGCAAGTGGTCTAGTACTGTGATACTGTAGATCTCTCAATATGAAATGAGAAGAAATTATCTAGCACTTAGGTCAAAAAAATGGAGTTATTTTTCATAACCTATAAGGTAGAAAAGGACCATAAGGAATAATGCAAATCTTGTACATCTATTTTCTTTCAGCATTATCCTTCCATTCACATCACAGCTTATGAAAATGATGAGCGTGTACCTCTGAAAGGAATTGTAAACTATACTGACAAACTCAAGGAAGCCATTATGGAGCATGCTAAGGACACTGGTGAAGGTAGGAGACCACCTGGAAGCAGGGAGCATAGCTAAATGTTCTGTTACCTACCACATACTGCTCAGAGTAGTACATTTTATGCCACAGACCAAATCATCTGCCCGTGAGTTTGGACAGTTGGTTTTCCTGTGTTGACTACTGAGTTGAGGCATACCTAATAACTATATCTGACTTGCCCCTTTTTCAAAGGACAGTCTTAAAATAAGGTAGGCAAGGCACAAAGAAAAATAAATTTAAACATCAAAGTATAACTTAGAGATATACTGTCATACAACACTCATTCATTTAACAATATGAATTGAGCCATTATTCCTGGAAACTTCTAGAAAAGCTTTTGCTCTGGAGCTTCAGTGTCCAAACTAGCTGCGTTAATTTCCTCTAGATCTTTCCATTTCATTGCACAGGAACTCTTACCTTTTTCTTCCTTATTAGCAAGACCCTCTGAGCTCAGGGTGGAAGGGACCCACATGCAAGTTTCAGTCACCTTGTTTTCACCTCCATGCCTCACACTTACACATTGCAAAAGTTGGCGTTTCCAGGTCATAAGACTCTGATTCCACAGAGCCATTGGCTTCCTCTTGCTCCACAACCTTCTCCATGTGGCCCAACAAGTCTCTTCCATCCAGTGTCCTCAGCCACTCATCCTCCTGTTGCTTTCTCTGTTTCAGAAATTTGTCTTTTGCTGCTTGCCCCCTCCCATCTCTTACTTGGTGATAGTTTATGCCTTTTTCCTTTGCTATTATTTTAATAGCGTACTTGAGAGGAAAGGGGAGAAATGAATCTCAAACAAACCTTCTAATTGTTGCATATGTTAACTCTTTCAGGCTACCAGGCCCCCAATGTTGTGTTAGATATTCAGCCTGGAGGCAATCATGTGATTGAGGATTCTCACAAAAAGGTATGTTTTCAAACCCCTCTCAGTTGACAGATGCCCAAGTAGAGATCTGTCACTGTCACCATTTCATTGGTTGCAGCAGAGTTTATGACAGCTGCTTTGTCACTGTCTGGTCTGTGGCTGAGGCCCAAGAGCAGAAGGAAGAATGCTGAGTCGAGAAAAGGTTCCCTCTTATACTTGATAAGTGAGCGCTGTTAGAGTGATGGAATCTTACCTGTTTGGAAGCACCTTCTGCCTCTGTCCCCAAATAAAAGTAGACTTGCCATAAATGGCTGACTTTGTGGTTAGGTGAAGATGGATAGACAAAGAGATGTAGCCCTCGAGTTTTACCACAAAGGCCTTTATCTAATTTTTTAAATGCATTTCTTTTAGATTACAGCCCAAATTAAATTCTTGTACGAGGAACTTGGACTTGACAGCACCAGTGTTTTCGAGAATCTTAAGAAATACCTAAAATTCTGAAACGCTGCATTCCATGGGAATTGGAAACACACTGAAATATTTCATAGTCTTATTTCCAATTGGGTAAGCAACAGTGAGATTTTTTTTTAAGTTAGTAATTTTTTAAAATTTGCTTCTCCATCCACATTTTGCCTCGTGTATATCTCACTTGATTCTACTGCTCTGTCCTTTGGCACATGTGCCCTTTAACCTAGGAAAGGGGTTTTCAAACCGTGCTCCTCAGAAGGACACGGAGGACAGGGTGAAGGAAGGTTTGGTGACAACACAACTCTCCCAGCTCCCCCTTCAGAACAGCTCTGTTTCTGTCTGTCCGAACTAACATTTCCTTTGAAAAGTTTACAAATCAAGGTCCTGCCTCTTTGCTAATGAACACTTTTAGACACGTCAGCAGTAAGTCCTCCAGTTTCTACATCTGTATTTTATGAAAAGAGGTAACATTCTTCACATTAGAATTCATTAGATCTCTCTGACAGTCCGGGGTCCTCAGGTGTCCCAATCATCTCTTACACTGATGCTAGCTCAATAAAGTTACAAGTTCCTGCAAGCGATAGTTTTATTATTTTTAAAAAACATTTGAGAACCTTTTCTAAAGCTGTTACATTCACATTGTATTACCCCGCCGTCTGTGGTGCGTGAAGTTACTGCACATGCTTAGGAGGGAACAGGACGCCAGTGTCTTCATCTCTTTAACACAAGCTGTGCAGTAGGTTTAATGTGCTGGAATAGCACGCCCGATTAGAAACAAAACATCTGTCTCTGAAAGCTGTTTGGTGATGAAGGAGATTCTTCGTGTTGTATTCAAGGACGAGGCCTTCTCCTTTGTCCAGTAAAATGTCATGCGTATCAACTTCACCGCCCTTGTCGGCAAAACTGGTACTTAACCTTATGCTTGCTCTTGTGGGAATATTGGGAACCATTTCCTTTAGATTTAGCTGTGAGGATTCTCCAAAATTCAGAACCACCAGAAAGACTCGGTCGATGCCATCCAGCTCTCTTGTGTACACGACAGAGTGGCTGTTATTCCTCAGATAGCAAAACCAGCCCCTGCTGAGGAGCAGCTCATTGACATGAAGCAAACTTAATTCTTGATAGAACTTCAGTGCTGATCTGGGCTGAGTCTTTTGGACCTATTAAAAAAAAAAAAAAGAAAAAATTAACTATTCACTTCTCAAATAGTTGTTAGCAGTTTTTTTTTTTTTTTTAAGTAGTCTTAGTACCAAATAAGGAACTTATTTCCCAAAAAAGTTTGCTTCAGTTTTGCCCATTAAAATGACTACCAAATTGTAAGTATTGATAGGTTGGTAAGAGTAGTTTATTTAACTACCAAGAGATACTGCAAATGCAGGGAGTCATTGGGTGCACAGCGTTCTCGCATTTTGGCCATACTTTATGAGAGACCAAATTTGACTCCACTTTAGGTATCTCAAAACAATGTCCGTGTCTAAGTTACCTGGTGTTTAACTTACCTAACTACAGTCCCTTTATGCTACATTGTAACTGGAAGAAAGGCTGCCACTGTGGCCATGAACTGGGAGGGCTTCCCTGTTCTCTTTTGTAGAATACTTTGGAGGTCTCTTTAACTTCAGCAGACACGTGTTCCTTACGTAGCCAGTGGTGAACAGAAAGTTGCAAAAAAGGACGCAAAGCAAAATGCTGCCTACAGGGAAAGTTTAAAAATTATACTTCTTTAATGTGTGTCCATTAAAGAAGATTGGGGTTTATTTCACAGCTACATAGAACATATATAATTTAATTTCAAGCGCCTTCTCCTGTGATTATGGTAAAATGTCATTTTAATAACAGGATAATGTTTGGTTGAATGGATATACCAAATTTAAAACCATCCCTCTCATTTCAGCATTCAGCTTTCTAATATTTTCTCATATTTTTAGTGCCTCTCCCGTATTTGGATTATTTATTTAGGACTGAAAGACAATTACTACGTCAGAGAGTATGGATACTTGATACATAATGCCAAATTAGTCTCCATAAGAGCTGTTGCCAAATCAGTGGTAATGTTCATTTCCGTGGACTCTTGCCAGCCATGTTGACTGCGGCGGTGGTGGCTGTCATTGCTGTTATCATTGTTGTTACTGCGGGGCAGGTGCCTAATGTGTGGTCTTCAGTGAACATCTACTGAATGTTTGAAAAATGTTTATTCTCTGTTATCAGGCACAAAGGTATTTATGGTACATGTATATGGTATATGTATATGACTTGTCAAATTACTATTAACATTTTCTATAGCCTTAGATGATGCATGGAAAAGCATAGTTCGGTGCCACTCACATAAGAAGTGCCCAGTAAGTGTTAACTATTATCTGTGTCAACTTTCTAGAAGTATGTTGAAGTGTCTCTCTGTAATTGTGGATTTGTCAGTTTCTCTTGGCATTTCTCATAGTACTTGTTTTATATATTTGGACGCTATTGTTAGATCCATAGATCATGACTTGTAGTGGAATGTTCTTTAACAGTTTTTGAAAATTACATTGGTCTCATAATGCTTTTCATATTGAATTCTATTTTGTCTGCTATTAAATATTTCCACACCTGCTTTTTGTAACTTTATTTTTTTTAAATAGGAAATGCATGCACACAGTATAAAATTCATTTATAAGAGGAATATATAAAATAAGGTTTTTCCTAACACCATCCCCTCGCTTTTCACCTTTTGTCTCAGAAACAGACACTATTGCTGTTTATGCTACATCCTGTGCCTTTGCAAACAGATGTAGATATACTTTTTCTCTATACAAGTGGAGGCATGCTACCATAATGGACTCTGTTTCTTAGTACAGGGTAGAGATGGTCTCATGATACCAGTGCATTCTTTCTAAAAGCTGCATACTAGTCCATTGTATAAGTCAACCATAATTAATTCTCTTGATAAAATATTTAAATCATTTCCAGTGGAGATCCTTGAATATTTATCATTTTCCACATGTATAAGTATTCTCGGAATGAAATTACTAAGTCAAAGGTTATATGTGTGTTTTTTGTTTTAGCAATGTCTCTATATTGGATTTTGTCTCTTTACCTTAATCTGAGAGTTTTTATCTTTTAATAGGTGAATTTGACCCATTTATATTGGTGATTGCCATGTGTTTGGACATACTCCTACAGCCTTATTTTATTTTTTATTTATATTTGTACTATTGTTTTCATCCTTTTCATATCGGTTGTTTTGATGTAATATTTTTCCTCCTATTCTTTGAAAATGACACTCTTAAAATTGTAATGCCTGTTTTAAAATATACTTTTCTCAACATCCGGAGCAGTGCCATCCAGCAGAACTTCTGCAGTGCTGGAAGTTTCTATATCTGTGCTAAAGTGGCAGCCCCCAGCTGCTCTGCACTTGACGCGTGCTAGTGTGCCACAGGAAGTGAATTCTGCATTGTTCAGTTGAGGTACTCTATGTCCATGCCCTGAAAAGAATGCTTTAGCCTGCTCGCTCACACATTCTCTGTCTTTTCTCTCCCCTTCCCTGCTGCCACTTCCCATATAGAAATCAATCACTAAGATTTTTGTTCCAGAATATCTTACTAATCTTACTTTACATGATGTACCAAAAAATATCCTTAAGTTCTGTTGATTCCTTTCCTTGCTGTGTTTTATACATCATGTATTATTTTTTTAACATTTTTTTATCTTTAAGTAATCTTTATACCCAACGTGGGGCTTCAACTTAAAACCCCAAGATCAGGAGTCACATGCTCTACTGACTGAGCCAGCCAGCCACCCCACATCCTGTCTTTCTTTTAGATTCATCTTTTTGTTTTGTTTCAGTCCCTGATTATTCTCTCACAAGCTGGCTATTTATGGTAAAATTGGGGTGCATGCTTTTCCAAGTCTATATTCATGAACGCTAGTTTGAGTGGATATAAGATTGTAGGTTTAGAATCAAGTTTCCATCATAGCGTTAAAGATTGAAGTTCTGATATGTTCTAGGATCTGCTTAAGCAAGTCCAGTTCTCAGTCCTTTGCTTGGGCAGTCTGTTTTGCAGTTTGGTTTTGGTTTCCGCATATTTTTAGACTTTTTTTCTTTATTCTTGCCATTTTTCTTTGAATATATAGTTCCCTCTGGTTTCTGTTCTCTTCTAGAATTTCATGTTGCAATTTCTAGATTGATTGCATATCAAAAATTTTCTCTTCATACTGTTATTTGCCTTTTTTCAGTGCATTCTGGGAGAAGTCTCTGGATCAGTTTTCCAGCACCCTAATTAGAATTTCTGTTTCAGTCTTTCACAATGTTTTACGTACCTACACGCTCTAATCACTTTTTTTTAAGTTTTACTTATTTAAATCACCTGTACACCCCACGTGGAGCTCAAACTCAGAACCCCAAGGATCAAGAGACGCATGCTCCACCCACTGAGCCAGCCAGGCTCCCCTCTGATTCCTTTTTTAAGAGAATCAAGAGACTCCATAAGACAGTATAACAATAACAAAGTCTTCTGTTTGCCATATTTCCTCAACAGTTTTCTGTTAAGAGTGGTGTTCTCTTCCATCCTCTTAATTTTTCTCAAATGTGTCTTTCTTGGCGATCCATTTACTTTTGCATTTTGATACTCCTTGTCTTCGGTTGTCTGCCTTTAGTCATTATGAGAAGCTTGGTTTTACTTTCTTTTAGAAATTAAATTCTTACCTGTCTCTAGGGCTCTTATGGATGTATTTTATTAAATAGCTTAGCCTGAGACATTGTGTTACGATTTAGCATTCCTCCAAGCATTACTCCTGATCATTTGAAAGACTTGGTTAATGTTATAGAAAAAATTGTTTTAATTTGCATTTATCTTTTTTCTTCTTTCTGGTATATATTTTAATGTAGGATTTCTTAACCTCTTGGACTCAAATTGAAAACCAATAGATGCATTTACTCTCAAACACAAATGTTAAAACACATATTTTTGTTTTCAAGGACCTATCTAATACTATCCCAGAAGCCTCTGTGGAGTTTGGAGCAGGGAGTTGTGGAAACAGGAGGGTTTGCATGAAGCTCA